AATTTTATATCGCTAGATCAATTACGACTAAGTAGTGAGTTCGATCCTCACTGTGTTCCCCAAACTTTCGACCTTGTGCCATATCTAAGCTACACTTAGAAAACCAGAGCATTTTAACGTTGTATAATGGTTTACAAGCTTGTCTCACTGGATCGATTACGATTAAACAGTCAGTTCGATCCTCACTGGATGCCCAATACTTTTGGCCTTGTGCCAGATCTAGGCTACGCTTAGAAAAGTAATATATGGTCTTCTGTAGTGAAAATAGCTGAGATACTTACGAAACAAAATTACCTTGAATCTTTTGATGAGTCATAGAAAATGTGGTCCACTGCTCTGAAAGGGTTACTTATGCCTAGTTAAATGGGTTAGTTTGCTTATCTACCTATTTATGGCAATCATAAAGATAGATAACGAATTGAGAGAGATAAGTAAATAAACATTATCTTCGATATTGCAATCATCAAAGTGTGCAAAACTGCGAAAATTGGTAAGGTCTGTAACGTTTTATTTCAGAGGACAAGGCCTGCCTCAATTTTGAAAATGAACATTCGAAGTCTGAACTTTTAGCTAGACTTTAACCAAGACGTTTAATATTGTTAAACTTAATCAAGTTTTACGCAACCTTTAGGAAGATGCCTTTCAAAAGCTAAACAAAATATTAAAGAACAGGAAATTTTTGTTAGAACCAAAGACGAGGGTGCTGAACTGCAATGTAACATCAATCTTCCTAAATGGCTGTGAATGTTGGACAATTCCTTCAAATACGAAGAGGGAAAGAGAGATGGAGTCATCGAAGACATTGAGAATAGACGGTGCATATGAGAAACAAGAAAGTTTTAGGATTTTTTTACAAGGCTGTTCACCCTATGCAAGGCCCAAGAGTTACTCTAGGTAGCAACCCCAAGTAAGGTGATAATGCCCCCAAGACACAAGAAGCCACCGGAAGTGAAAGAGAACGAAAATACTAAAAAGAATAAACCTCTATTCCTATTAAAAACACCGGAGAGGGGTGTGAACTGGGGAATATGAGGACATATCTACTCCTATTAAATGGAAACAAAAACGACATTTATACTTAGAATCAGAAATGTCTAGAATACTTAATGAGGAAAGGGGGCTTAGCGAATTTGACACTCACGGGACATAATGAAGGCAAGAAATGCCGAGAGAAACAGCTAACGGACATGTGTAAATAGATAACAAAACAGAAAGCAGAAGGGATAATGAAATATAAACATTGATAAGAGCTATAAAGGATAGAAAATTGTGGAGAGCCATGATCACCTACGTCCTGAAGGTGTACGGCACATAAAAGAAGTATGGCTGATGGTTATCGGAGACAGGAAGATTGTATCACGCCAATCTTTTAACTGGAGAGAGTGTGTCTGTCTAGAAAAGCAGCATTTGAAATATTGGTTTTATTGCCTGGGTTCAAACACTTCTTATGTAAACGAGAAAATACAAATAGTTCGGCCACTAAGTAAGGCAAGTTTGCCACAAAGTTTTATTTTGCAGGTATTTCAATGAGTATTCACCAATAATTACCTGACTTACGGCCACGTCACATTGAAATACCGATTCCCGTAGGATCACCGAAGTTAAGCAACGTTGAATCGGGTGACCGCTTAGGAATACCAGGTACTGTAATTTTGGATGGGCGAGTGGTTTAATGGTATTGGAAATCCAATCACCGTTGGGTTCATTATATTCGCTTATCTTACCAAGGTTATCTTGGGAAAGATAAGCACCCACCTCCTCTCCCCCAGCTGTGGGTTAATTAGTATGACTTGTATAGCTAAAGCCATTATATCCAAAAATAAATTAAAATTGGGTACAAAATAAAAATATACTTTTCTGAAACTTTATTTGAGTACGATTAGCTGATTTAAAGTTTACCTAATCTGATTTTAAACAAATATTTCTTTTAGTTTAAAATATCACTGAAAAAACTTTTAATAGATTTGTATTTTTGTGAGGTGCTGACACATATATTGATACCGTCCAGGGTAAGACGATAAACTACGTCTGCGTCCTGGGTAAGAGGATAAACTATACCCGCGTCCTGGGTAAGACGATAAACTACGTCCGCGTCCAGGGTAAGACGATAAACTACGTCCGCGTCCAGGGTAAGACGATAAACTACGTCCGCGTCCTGGGTAAGACGATAAACTACGTCCGCGTCCTGGGTAAGACGATAAACTACGTCCGCGTCCAGGGTAAGACGATAAACCCCGTCCGCGTCCTGGGTGAGACGATAAACTACACCAGCGTCCAGGGTAAGACGATAAACTACACCCGCGTCCTGGGTGAGACGATAAACTACGTCCGCGTCCTGGGTGAGACGATAAACTACACCAGCGTCCAGGGTAAGACGATAAACTACGTCTGCGTTCTGGGTAAGACGATAAATTACACCCGCGTCCAGAGTAAGACGATAAACTACACCAGCGTCCAGGGTAAGACGATAAACTCCGTCCGCGTCCTGGGTAAGACGATAAACTACGCCCGCGTCCTGGGTAAGACGATAAACTACACCCGCGTCCTGGGTAAGACGATAAACTACACCCGCGTCCTGGGTAAGACGATAAACTACGTCCGCGTCCTGGGTAAGACGATAAACTACACCAGCGTCCAGTGTAAGACGATAAGAAAATTATTACCAGAAATATATTTTTGAAGAAAAAATGTTTTTACCAGAAATAGATTTGTTGTATAAAAAATATTACCAAAAATAGATTTTTTAAAGGAAAAATATTATCAGAAATAGATTTTAAATAAAAAAAAATATTACCAACAATAAAAATTTTATCGGCATTAAATAACCCATTGATGTTGATATACCGTAAAACAAAAGGAACATAGCTTGATAACCTGATGTTTACATGATTTGTGTAAAAGTGAAATACTTGTAAAATTACATAAACACAGCCTTATCACGTTGAAACCCCAGTTACTGTATGATCACTGAAGTTAAACAACGTCTAACCTGGTCAGGACCTAGATGGGTGATCCCTTGAGAATACCAGGTGCTGTACGTTTGGATGTGCGGGTGGTGTAAGGGTTTTGGTTGGGTTCGTTATATTCACTTACGCAAATAACCTTGGGAAAAGTATGAATCCACCTCCTCCCCCAAAGCTATGGGTTAATTAGTAAGACTTGTATATCTAAAACCAGTATTATCACCACCAAATATTCTTACAATCTAAAAATATTTTCTGGCTGCAAAGTGTTGATAAACCGTAAAAATCTAATTAATAAATCAATTAATCAATCACTACTTTCGAGATTTGTGTTCAGTCTATGACTCCCTACAGAAACAGATAGATGAATTAGATATCATGGATTTTACAAGTACAATGCTAAATGATATACGGAAAGAATATTGAACATTTGAACTCGTTCACTGAAGAGATACACGTCTAAACTTTGACAGCTAGGCTGAAAATGGAAATATTCAAGCACTGTCAATTGAAATGATAAAAAAAAAAAAAGGATGTGTTACGTCAAACTTTTGGTAAATTTGTCTGATAAGAAAATCAATACTAACTTCCTTGATATAAGGGTCAGATAAAAAGAGCTTTTAGATATACGGTTTCACAAAAAGAACTCGGCGGGGTGATTTCATTACATTTTTTTTTTTAACTTTTTAAAGTAAGGTTCACTCTTTACAAGACCCGGGGGCCACTCGAGATAGAGGATTACGTTAAGAGCCAGTTTATACGAAATGTAGATAACGGTTAACTCTAGACGAACAGGTTAACAATAAGATTGTAGTGATTGGGGAAACATCCTCTTGGAAGTCTGTTCACAGAAATACCCTTGGAAAAGGTGGAAAAGGTGTGAATCCATTTTTTCCAGGGAGAAGGAGAGATGCGAATTCAAAACTCCACCTTAAGACACTGGGTATGTACCCCAGGAGAACCGTATACGACCATTGAAAAGATTATTCAGGTCACGGCCGTGGCACCGGGGTTGTGAAATAAGATTGAATAAAGAAAAGAATGAGGGAGACTAAGTTTTGTCTCTCCTGCAATTATAAAGTTAATTTGTCCATTTAATGTGCACCGTATATACTTGAATATAGTGCCGTTTTTTAGGATCAGTTATTTTTTTGCACAAAAAAAATAGGGGGGGGTCAACTATACACAAGTCATTTTCTGAAGAGGTTAAAACATTTTTAACAATCAGTCATCGAAAAATTTTTTGAAGTTAAAAATCATACATTTTCTGTGACTGGTTGCACTATACGCAGGTAATTTTTTTTCTGTGGGGGTTAAAAAATGCATGCAAAAAATCCAGGTGTTACGCTGTACATTATACTCGAGTATACACGGAAACGGATTTTTTCTTCTTTTTTTTTTATTAGTATCGTCAACTTTAACGCCCGAAAACTTTTCCGCTTACTAAATATCGAATTCTCGATTACTTTATCAAACTTCATATTCTAAAAGGGTCAGACTTCGGATGAACAATAGACAACACATATATCGACGATTTTTAGTCATCGTTATAATGAAATAAAGTATATTTTATTTCAAATATTTCCTGATCGAATTTTTTTTTTTAATTTCTAAAAGAGAGATCCGATTTTTTTTTATTTTAATTATTTTTTCATTTCAATAAACAGTTACAAAAGCGAAATTATTTTTTTGAATTCGATGAAAAATGTGTACTCAGAATATGAGGTCAGGTAAAGTAATCTATGGCGTAATTCAGTATTTGGTATGCGATTTTTTTTTTTTTCAGGTGCTAAATTCGACGTTACCTTTTTATAATTTTACTTTATTAGAAAAGAGAAAAATTGTTGCTAAAACCTTGATTCCTATTTTATTCTACCAACAATTTTTCAGATGAATAATGACAACGAACATTATTAAACAAGAGGCAAAGATAATTTCGAACGCCAACTTAATTTTCCCCACCAAAAAATTAAAAAAGTTTTAACGAATTTCACTCCCGCAAAAAAAAAAAAAAATAATTAACTAAATAGTACTTACCATCAGTCAGTTAGGGTAAATTTTCCTTTGTTACTGAAAAAGTGTTGCCGTAGCTCCAAAGTTACACGAGAACTCCAACACATTTACGGTTTACCCATGAAAATAAATATTCACAATGAAATCTAGTAGTGTGCACCAGTGCTTATTTTCGCTTGTGATAGAAAGCGAAATGCTTCTTGATTTTTATCAAGACTGTTTATGAAAGATAAAAGGAATAACAACACATGCCTCGTTTATTGCATTTTTTTTTTTTTTTTGTAATCATTTACTTGCGGTATGTTTTTTATGAAACTATCAGCGGGTGTCAATTATTATTAAACGCTTGAATCTAGGCGAGGAATGACTAAAAAAAAACATGTTATTTTTAATTAGAAAGTGTTTTAGTATGGTTTGACACAAATCCACAAGGTTGTAGCGCTCAATTAAGATCGAACCCACTATGGTCAACCCGACTAACACGTTAACCTTAACCCAACACCGAGTCCTTCCTAAACCATAATGTTTTACAGTTTAAATTTGATAACTCTTAAATATTCAGAGGATTTCTGTTGACAAATTGAAAACATTTTTATATGATTTTTATTACAAATTTACAATTTGTCTTCTCGCATGAATTACTGCGAGTATTTTTTATTATCTGTTTTTATTTTTATTTTTTATTATCTGTTTTTATTTGAATGTTGTGTGTGTGCGCGCATGAGAGAGTGAGAGAGAGGGAGGGAGAATATGTGTGTATGTATATGTGTGCATGTGTTAGCGTTTTAACAATAAGCGGCTACTACTATTACAACTAGTGCTACACATACCTAATTTCATTACAGCAAACAAGTTCAATGTTAGCAGAACTAATTTAGCTATACAATCTCATAGTATTTCAGGGCTGTCTGTAGCAATGTCGGCCAGGCTTCGATGGGCCATTCTCGGTTTAAAGCAATTTTCTCGAAGTGTTGGAAATATTTATCCACGTCTTCTTCGTTGAATGTAGGCACAAGTCGCATTTGCTTGGTGAGGTCAAAGTTGTTCCGCTCCTCCTCGTTTCGTAATAGTTCTTGTTCTATTTCTCTGATACAAGTTTCCTGACTAATTCTCGCCAGCTTAATCTGGGTCTCGGCTTCGATCTTAAGTTTCTCCAGTTCGATCTGGGCTTCTGAGAGTTGAGGCACTTCTGACACAAGGTTGTCAAGAACGCTCCGGTCGAAAACTTCATTATCGACCATGTCTTCTGAGACCACTCTCACCAACTGCGCCTTTCGCATAGACCGTCTTAGGTTCAACCCAGTTTTAAACCTATCTCTAAAATATGGTCCTTTTTTCAGCTTTAATAGACCGTCAAAAGTGGGAGAGTTTAGAAAAAGTATCTATTACGGACATCTCGGTTTATGTGCCTTCCGTAATTCTATGACAGCACTGTTCCTCACTGCGAAGTCTTGTGGAAAAGAGGAAATGATTCCCGGACACGAGCCCCCAATTCTGTTACGCCCGGGGTTTCGTTGGGACTACGATAGCCGGGACGCAACGAGAAAATAAAAAAAATAGTAAGTAAGAGATCCCAAGGTTCGATATAAAAATAAAGAAAAGAACGTTGGTGGGGGGGAATTCTCCAATTCCGGACGTCGGTAAACGCAGAGAGAAAATGAACAATACGCAGACACAGAACAACAGAAGACGACACGAGGATATATAATACAAAGATTTTATTTATAGAATACACAGAGTGTGAATGTAAGAAAAAGAAAAGAAAACTAAATAGTACAAGGGATGGGGAGATAAGTTACCAACTAAACAGATACTAATGCGGCAAAGTACATATGAGAATACAGAGATAGCAGATTATAAGATATGGAAAAACATGCAGAAACTTACATAAGGTTGGAATCGATGTCGATTGACTATTATCGGGGTACAGTTTGATCAAAAGGATATTCATACACTTCTCTGAAAGTAAAAGGTGGTATTGACAATGTTCTAATATGAGTTTTTGAGTGGCGACGTCCAATCCGGGTTAATGGCGAGGGGAAAACACAGAAAAATCACGGGAGTGTAGCCGACTTGGGTTGATGATGTTGTTCTAGATTCTCGCGTCGGTCCTTTGGTTTTTGGTGGCATCTAATTCTTCTGGCATCAAACAACGAAGTCTGGTTTTGGTGACAACTGCTTCTTCTAATGGCAAATAGCTAAGACTGGTTTTTGGTGACGTCCGACTCCTCCGACAGCCAGCAACTATGTGAGGTTGTTGTTACTTCAACACGTGCGAAAGGAAAACTGCTATCTGTTGAGTCACGTGTTGGCCCCCCAAATACGTACGCCTCATTCACGGACCCTGTTAATGTCATTCGTTTACTATCTGTCAAACAGCGTTTGTTTGGCCTACACATCAGAGACCAGGTTGGAAATGGGGGGGGGGAGGTTCTTTTCCGAGAACTGGCCCTGACTCATCTGGTTATAAAAAAATATATCCCACAATCTGCATATTCAAAAAATAAAGAAGTTATTAAGATTCATATGTTTCGTCGCAAATACACAAGGTACTGAAAATATACTTATAAAATCTGAGGTGAAGGTACTAATGTGGGGTTAACGTAACAATATATATATATATATATATATATATATATATATATATATATATATATATATATATATACTGTGTATATTTAGGCAGTAATTTTTCATTAATGCATGTTTCATTAAATAATATAGACAAGTTTTGTCTATTTATTTTAAGTAAGTTACTTTCATATTGTCTGATAAGCTTAATCACATTATCATTGAAGGACGAAAGAAAATCACCATCTAAGATTTCGGCTTACATAAGCCATTATCAAAGATGACAATTACTTTTCAATATATCAATCAGTACACGGAACACTAATGGTGGTCTGTTTTTGTTGCATGAAAAATTTCAAACCCACGACTAACTCGTGTATACGAGACGCGGAAGGTAAAATCGCGTCGCAGCTCGTGACGTCACGCATGACCACGCGAGAGTGAAAACGAGAAGTATTAACTATAGGAAGCCGTTGGTATATGGTTCCCCACCAATAGTAAGCTTAGTAATATATTCAATAAGAACACCCTAAAATTGAGCTACAGCTGCTCTGATAATCTTGAACGCATAATAAAAAAACACAATAATAAGATCTTGAACAAAACCCCATGCCAAAAACAGTATTAATAAAAAACTCTGCACTTAAATCAGACGATAAAAGGGAAAAATTATGTAACTGTAGAAACCCAGAAGACTGCCCATTAGAAAATAAATGTTGTATTAATTCTGTGGTATACCAATGTACTATTTCATCCACAGAGAGCCCTAGCACTAATAAGATATACATTGGGTCCACGAAGAATAATTTTAAAGATAGATGGAGGCAGCATAAGTGCTCCTTTAATAATATAAACAAACGAAATCAGACTTCACTATCAAAATATTTTTGGCACCTGAAGGAAACAAATAAGACACCAAAAGTTAAATGGAAAATTATTGACAAGGCTAGAATATGTAAAGCTTGGGATGACCCATGCCCTTTGTGCCTCCATGAAAAATTGCACATTATTAAACTTCTAAATAATAATAATCTATTAAATAATAGACACGAGTTAACGGTTTTTTGTAGGCATCATCAGATTTTTGGATTGAATTATTAGATAAAAACATTTATATAACTTGTTTAACAAATAGCCCAATCATCAGATTCATAGTAGGAATAATTAACTACAAACATGCATACAACATAACACACTTCCTAATCCATAGCCTAAATTAGTAGTTTAAATACATTACATATAAGATAACCCTTTATGAAGTCGTCAAAAAACAAACGTTACGAAAGTTTTTCTTTTTTTATATGCACAATTCCCTTTCATAATAAAATAAAATAAAATAAAATAAAATAAATCTCCATAGACAAGCAAACTAGACGATGGCCAATACATCTTCCGTTTCATTTTTGACACCCCCACCTTTCCCCGACTTGACACCTTGAAAGTATCTCTATACCGCTACTTATTATAAACACCCTACACTCGCCTACCCAATTTAGACAATTCACCATAGCTGTTACCATGGGGATTTTGATTTCAATTTTAAAACAAGTAAATTTCAGATATACGTTATTCCAACAAAAATTTCGCTTGAAGATGGAACGGAGCCCATTTTACTTTCAACTCAATTTAATTTAAAGGATTATATTGAAGTTTTCAGCTCTTGTTTTTGAAACATGAGACCTCTTATGTAGCGATTTGGAATCATATTTTTAAATAATTAATTATATATATATATATATATATATATATATATATATATATAAACAATCTTACTATTTAAAATTAAAGTTTTCAATACAAGACTTTATTTAGAAAAAAAAAGTTTTTTTCCACATTAACTGACCCAACGGATTGATATACTGTAAAAGGAACCAAACTCACACTTCTCGCTTGTGGAACTCCCTTTCGGCTTCATGCTTTCCATTCAGCTTTAATCTGCAAAACTTTAAATGTAATGTCAATCGCTATCTATTCATTACTCTTTCTTCTTCCCGCTCACTATTAATGTTTCTGTTCCTAATTCTTCCACACCCAGTAACCCCTTGTATTTTAGTGGCTTTACTGTTTGAATAAATAAACAGAGCGTCTACTTAAATATGAGTATCCACAAAAAATAATGTTTAATGTAATACAAATCTGCCGGATTAATAACTTAAAAACATTATTTTAGTATATATATATATATATATATATATATATATATATATATATATATATATATATGTGTATATTTAGACAGCAATTTTTCATTAATGCATGTTTCATTAAATAATATAGACAAGTTTTGTCTATTTATTTTAAGTAAGTTACTTTCATATTGTCTGATAAGCTTAATCACATTATCGTTGAAAGACGAAAGGAAATCACCATATTGATACATGTTTAAATCCAATCTAAAGTCGCAAAAACGAGAAGTATTAAGTATGGGAAGCCGTTGGCTTCTGTTATAAATTATA